GACCAGGACTTGCAACTTCCTACCAGCTTCCCCACTGACTTTGCTTGTTGGAAGCCAGCAGGAAGTCGCAAGGCCCCATCACATTAGGACCTCCCTTAATGACCCACGACCTTTACTTAATGAAGGCAACAGGGACAGCACATGACATAGTGCTTTACAACCACATTGTTTAGCAATGGAAATTCCAGTCCCAATTGCCGTTGTAACCCAAGGACTACTTATATGGTCTCCAGTAGCAGACATTCATCCAATGCATATAAATTATGTTACTTTTAACTGGAATGGAATTTGCAGAAAACCTATGACATTATGAATGGAAGAGATATTAAAGAAATAAATCTGTGGCTTTAAGCTATCTTCCTATAACATTTGATTGTTATCTTTTGATTGTACCTTTTGTTTTTCACAAGGATAGGATTACTTTCTCCCACTTTCCAAGAGTATTTTTAAAGATAATTGATTAGTAATGCTAGTAACCATAGTTCACATGTGTGTGCAGCATGTCCATGTTTAGTGAATACAGCGAGGATACTGTGATTAGTCATTATTTAAAGGAAGACGTACCTGCTTGAAATGTGCACTTCTCCGTTTCTACAACAAAGATTACATTTATTAGAGCTGTTGCCTTTACATGCATAAATACACTTTTTGGAATGCATCGGTTATCAAGTTATAATTTGCTAATAAGTTAAATTGTGGTAACCCTCAATAAACGTCTAAGATCTTATCAATTTTCCAAGATGGAAAGAATTTGAAAGGTAAAGAGTTCAAAAATTATTGTACATAACAGAAACATACTAATTTCAGTTTGTTTAGAATGAATGGGACTGGTCAACATGCAAGATCTCCATCACTGGAATATGCCACATCTCAGATCTGTCAGTTCCTGTCTCACAGACTAAATGATCCACATGAAAAGTAGTTCAATACAGGATGGGTTTTCTTTCCTCTCTTCTCTTATTCTCTCTCTCCTTTACTTTCTTCCTGAAGGCTCAACTCAACAAGTTTCTTCATTTTTTTCTCTTTCCATTTGTAATCAATAACTTTGTTTTCCAGTAAGCTTTTGTCTACATATTTGTTCTAAGTTCTTAAAATCTCTGATAATGGTACAAAACATTTTTAAGGTTATGATCTCACAACAATATGAAATATACCTGGTTGTAAATATCTTTATATTTGAAAAGTACTGTTAAAATCCTCCAGCTACAGAAACCAATCCTATCCACATATATAAAAAAAGGAAAATATCCCTGTCTTACCAATGGCCTCTTTTTCACAAACTCTTTCTGAAAAGAGTAAAAGTGAAATGTTATCAGACAAAATTGTAAGTTTGTAAAGTTTGTAAATCATAGGTTTCCTGTAGCATACCTACACTATACTTACAGTATATGTACACATGGTGAATCAAAACCTTATTTTCACCAGCATAGGAAAAGGATCCATTCTGCTACTTTGCCTCTTGGATAACTTCACTTTATTATTAAAGCCAGAAGTGCAAGATGTATTGTACTAGCACAGCTGGCTTTCTGGTATACTAGAACTCCTTAAGATGCTGCTATCAGAAACTGCTGATCTCCGTCCCATGGGATGATCCTCAACCTCCCAGGGAAAATCCTCCAAATATGGCCTGGGTCCACCCAGCTAGAGTAGCCAATGAATTCTTCTGGACACTAAAATTTTCTTTCTTGCTGAGCTTTATTTGAATATCAGCGTTCACATATGTCTTTGTGTTTCTTCATCACTCTTGGATACTAAATTCCACCTCTACATATTCAGTCCAGTCCTGAGATATGCAAGATGGTTTTTGCCCATCTCTCGCAGGTTCTTCTCCAAAGTATCACCTTCAGCACCTCTAGCAATCTCAGTTGCTACAGCTACTATAACAGCATTATCCTTTATCAGGACACTAAATCTATCATCTATCTATCTATCTATCTATCTATCTATCTATCTATCTATCTATCTATCTATCTATCTATCTATCTATTCATCTATCTATCTCCATCCATCCATCCATGTGCTTCCAGACCGAACAAAACAAACTGGTCCAGAGAATGCCAATCAGGTTGCTGGGATTCAAAATACACAGGGGTTGAGGGGTTTCTTTCCCCCCAGACCTTTAAAAATACAAGATGATATATTTATTTTTATTCTATACTCAAATACTTGCTGCTCTTTTTGTTATAGCATTTTTCATGGTTCTGTTTCTTTTATTTATTTCTTCCTTTAAATTAGAATGCTGTTCTTAAACTGATTGGAGAGTTGTACTGATATATTGAGAGTATGCACTTCTTGAAACAAAGACAATTTTGTATACTATTATAGAATGCATACTTTTAAATGCACTTACCACGTTTCTTTTGACTTGTTTCTTTTTCTGCAGAAGGTAAAACAATTGTTATTCCTTAAAACTGGAATGGCCTATTACATTCAGTGTGCTATCACCAGAACAAGAAATGCATATGCTTCTAAATGGACACCAGTATTAGCAAATAATTCCTCTTCTACCGAAAACTACAAGCAAACTTTCATTTGATCTTCCAAAAAAATTTACAGCTTTTTATCCTTTGTTTTCTGCAGTATATTGGGGAAACTGCACTTAAAAATGCAGGTCTAGGGAGAAACATGCATTGTGTCAGGTGTTTCAAAAATTGTAGATGCAAAAATAAACATAAAGATGAAAAACTTAAAAATTCAATGAAGCTAGACGTTATTGATTCACCTCTTTATAGGGAGGTCTCTTTGAAAAGAAAGACAAACATTTTAAAGTAAGCATTACCTTCTTTTTTAATAATATACCTACATCATTTTGGGCACTGTTATAATGTAAAAAATACAACTGACCATTACTTACCAAACTGAGATACTTCCTGCAAGCTCTCTGAAATAAAGTAGTAATATAATATAATATAATACAATATAATATAATATAACATAATATAATATAAATAAATGCAAACCTATCAGACTTCAAAACATTCCATAACATTCTGTTTTCAAAAATCCACTTTTGGAGGTCCCCAATTGTTTTACAGAGAACAAGACTTCAAGATCTTGAAGTCTTCACTCATATGAAGGAACTGGGATGATGAAAAAGCAGCCTGTGTGACTGGGAGCAGGTGAGAACAGGTATGCTTTGGTCAATCCTGGTAGAAATCGTAGGAGCCAGGTCTTCTATCTTTCCTTGGCCAAAAAGCAGCATGTTCTGCTGTTGGGCTGAAAATTCTTGGTCAAGTCCCTCTACTATATTCCCATAACCTGCCAACTCCATGTTTGGGAAATGACTGTCATTAAATGAATCTACTATTTACTATGAAGAAAATACAGTTAGATCAAGGCTACCATGCTTTCTGGAGAGAAATTATAGTAGCTATGTACAATGTAGTTGAGTGCATTTCTATTTTTCTACCACATATGACACATTTATTAGCACAAACACAGAAAAAGAGGCATTTCCTAAAATATTTTGTGGACATAATTTCACAAATTCTCCTAGTAACAAATTTATAATACTTACGTCTCCATTTATATGCCAGAAAAGCAATGAGGCAACCAAAAAGCACTAAAATGATTATGAAGGGTGCAATCCAAGGGGAAGAAGTCGGATAAAAAGCATCTGAAAGACACATTGAAATCTTACCTAGATTTATTAGTATTAGTATTATAAATTTCCAAAAGAAATTCAGAATTGCCAAACAAACAAACAAACAAAAAAAGTAGTTTAGCTAAAATTTATCCAGTATTCAAGATGAACACAGCTACATCATGGGGGATGGAAGCATTTTAATTCAATTTAGTCTAATTTAGTTTAATTAATTAAGTTAATCAATTAATTTAATTAAGTCAATTCAGTTTAATTAAATTTAGTCTAAAACCTCCTGTCTTTAAATTAAATATGATTTTGAGTGCCATCTAATTTGGACTTTAAGGACAAGATTTCCAAGTGTACCATGTGATTCTGCAATGACCACCCTCAAATTCAAAATGGAAAAAGAATTGCCTCTTCGTGGTACACATATTCTCTGATTTTAAATTCTTTCTGTACTTCACATGGATAATAAGAATATGGTTGCATTTAATTATGTAGTAATGGTAACCACAAATACTTAGCTGATAAAATATGCAGGCTCTCAGGACCTATTTTGTGATCTCTGCAGGTCCTCAAGATTGCACTGCCAAAATTCAGCAGTGACCTGCCAACTGCAGTGATTTTCCTGCATTTTTTTTTCCTGTCCCCAAAATAAGTAGCAAAATAAATGTGTTAAATTCAAAATAGATTAATCTACAGATTCAATACAGAAGTGAAAATTGTTTCCTCAAACTGGGAAAAATGGCCTCCAGTGTTGGGGAAAAAACACACAGAATCCTTTCTTTCCCTCTATCCAGAAACAAGACCTTTTTGTAAATATTGTCCTATTTTCAGCTCTTGGATGTGCAAGGAGTTGGGCACTGGCAGGACTGAGGTTCTCTGGCCAGGATTCCTCTCCTCCTGCATCCAAGACCATGAAAACAGCACCTACTCTTGGTCTCTTTGCTCCTGCTTTTCAAGTGTGAGTGTGCTGCAGATCAAAGATGGGATTGTAGGGGAAGAAAAAGTAGCTGTAAAGTCACGTTTAAAAGAGGTGGGCACTGTCCTTAATTTAAAGAAAATACTTATGTGGTACTGGACCTGGGAAATGTATTCTGACTGAGCTGGATTTGCAGATTTTTCTTTGAAACAAATACTGTGTCATATTTTTTTATCATTATTATTGGATAAGGTACACTGACAAATAGATGTTGAAAAGCAGCATACCTTTTTAAAACAATGAGTAGATATATAATTCTCAAAAAGAGTATCCAAGTAAGGTCACTATTAAAATTCAGCCCCTCGTCCATCCCCCACTCACCAGAAATGAGGATTCGGGATTCTCGCTCGCTCTTTACCAGGTTGTTGATGATTTTGCAGGAGACTTCATTATCCACTCCTGGCTCAAGTGTAATGGAACCAAAGACCTGAAAGATTCCCGCCACAGCCTCTGTGTTTGCTATGGCTGACTTCTCTGTCCGGTTTTCCCCTCTGCTGTCCAGCCAGAGAGCCTGAGGTCTTGGATACCACCCCTCAGAGCTGCAGGTGAGTCCAATACCTTGGCCCTTGTAATCTGCCAAGGTAATGGTGGGATCGCCTCCATTTGCTGCATAGAAATATATCTTTAGTTTCCATGGCTACAGGAAGTACAGAATATGTCTAAAGCAACGTTTCTCAACCTTTTTTCACCCATGGCCCCCTTCCAACCTTCTTTTTCTCCTGTGGCCCCCTGTCCAGGTCCCATTACTAGATATGGACATGGGACATTTTTGGTATCAACAAGACAGTATTTGTAGTATAATACACTGTGTTTTTCTATGGCCCCCTCAGCACGCGTTGTGGCCACCATGTTACATATTTTTCACATATGGCCCCTTTGAAATATCCTATGGCCCCCAGGGGGCCATATCACCCTCTGTTGATAACTGCTGGTCTAGAGTATCCTTACTCTGAAGGAACTTTGAAACTGACACTTAGCAATGATTTTAGCTGAAAGATTGAAAATAATTTTACAGGACTTTATTTATGAAGACCAATGTGGGTTTTTATCTAAAAGACAATTATGAGATAATATTAGAAATGTGTTAGATATTCTGGAGTATTTGGAGCAACACAATGAAAGGCAAGCTGCACAGATCTTCCTAAATGCAGAGAAGGCCTTTGATAATTTGAACTGATTTTCTTGCTTAGAGTTCTA